CCTATTAATCCTCCATATATCTTCTAGGTTTAGCGCAAAGAACAAAGAACCAAACTATCCAACCCAAATTCCTAACTTTTCCCAGGCCTGGATTGGGCACTCTTCCCAGTAAATTTTATTGGGGTTTCATGTCCTCTATCCACTCTATCCAATCTGATCACCTTTTTGATTGTTCCCAGGCTAGCTTTTCGTATCCTGTTCTGAGGATTAAGTCTCCTGGTGAGGAGTGGGGGGAAAAATGGGGGGGGGGGGAGGGAGTTCTCTGGAGTGTGTGAATGAGTGTTTACCAGTAAACTAGATGGAATTCTGCTCTGTTATCTGCTTCTGCTTCCCAGTTTATTAAGATTTTTTTTAGTTCCCCTTTGCATTTCTCCTTATATTAATAATTAGCTATTTCCTCATAGCAATAAATAGCTACCTACACTGACAATACGAGCCAGAAACACAGCCCAGTAGCCAGGAGCTCATCCAGGGAGGAAGGAATCTGGTTGTCACCGACACACCATTCATCTGGGAGGAGCAGAGACTACATGGACACTCCTGCAGGAATGAGCAGCCATCGCTGCAGCTGAGCACAGAGACCTGGGCAAAAGCACAGCAAGGGAGAGCGGCCACAGTTGTCGGGCTGTTGGCAATTCAGACAGTGAAGCCAAGCCACAAAGCCTGGCCGCCTACCCTTAACCTCCCAGAGATTGCCTCCCTTTGCCCTTGATGTCGGGTTGTAGACCACATTACCTGCGTCCCCAAGGGCACGGGCCCAAGATCTAATACTGCAGAATCACATTTCTCCCTAAGCAAAGGGTACACTCTTTAACCAGAACACAGGGAGGACCCTGGCAGAGGACCGAGGTCTCCATTACTGAGTGTAAAACAACAACAACAACAACAAACGAGTATAAAACAACAAAGGAGTGTAGGGATTCCCCAGCCCACCCCAAGGCATCCTGGCTGCACTGACCAGAGGTCAAGGCAGACAATGCTGAGATCTCACAGAGCTAAAAACCTTGTGATCCAGCTCCACCTACTGGAAAATAATAGAAATATGTTTTTGTGTTAATCAGCTAGTATTTACAATACGATTCATAACAGTGGCAAAATTACAGTTATGAAGTAGCAACGAAAATAATTTTATGGTTGGGGGTCACCACAACATGAGGAACTGTATTAAAGGGTCGCGGCATTAGGAGGGTTGAGAACCACTGAGCTGGAGATAGTGGGTGCTTCAAGAAGGTGGGAATTTGAGAAAGCAGGGAGAAACAGCTGTGAGGATCAAGGCAGCAGTGACGACCAAGAAAGATATCTACCACTCCTCCTTTCTTGTGTTAAGATACTGACTTTCACAGGCAAGAAGGAGTAGTAGATGTGTGTTTGAGAATTTACAGAATACCTCATTTTACTGTGCTTTGCTGGATTGAGTCTCAGAGGTGTTGCATTTTTTTTAAAAATTGAAGGCAAGACCCTCCACCAGCAAAATGACTAAGACTCAATTTATTGCAGTACTTGTTTTATTATGGTGGTCTGGAACTGAAATCACAATATCTCTAAGGTATGCCTATAAGTTATAGACAGGACATATCATTTGTGTTTCAAACCAAACTGGACATTAGAGATGACATGCTGACTCAGATCAGTGATCTATTCCAGAATATTTTCTAGAACAGTCTTGCCCCACAGACATTGCAAAATGTTAAGCACTCCTTACTCTCTTTAATAATACTTTTTATGTATGTGTGTATTTATTTATGTTGAGATATATTCACTATATTATTTCATCCTTTAAAAATACATTCATACTTTTACCTCTTATGTCAAATTTATTTATTCAATTAAGTAATCATTAACGAACTCAGGTCATATGTTTTAGGCAGCACTAGCAACATACAGATTACTTACAAAGTATCTTCCTCCATGGAATTTACTAGTTCAAGAAGGAAACAGGTGAGAGAACCAAGTGATATATAGTCTGACAAAGGCAGAGTGTCTACATAAGTTATTTGGAATTCTGGGTTGGAGATTTGTGTATTCTTCCCCTCTTAATAATTAAAACACTAGAGGCTCGGTGCATGTAATTCGTGCACGGGTAGGATCCCTAGGCCTGGCTGGTGATCAGGGCTGATTGGGACCTTCTGGCTGCCAGCCTGAGCCTCCCTTCCCCAGCTGCCAGCTGCCAGCCAGGGCCTTCCTTCATTCTATGCTTCCCCCTGGTGGTCAGCGCACATCACAGCGAGCAATAGAACTTTTGGTTTCCCGGTCGAACTCCCACGGGGACACTTTGCATTTTAGCCTTTTATATATATAGATTTGTATTAATACAGACTCATGGGTATTTTTTATAATCTAATATCAGGTAATTTATTTTATTGCTTGTTACATCTTTGACCATTGGGGCCACCTTCAGTGGGCTTCTATGTGGCTTTGACATACCCCATCAGTTTGCTTTTTGAGCATGTCCATATTTTTTGGCTCTGTATGGATGCATTCTATGCTATAATCTAATAGGAGAAATAATATGACCATTTAGTATAATTGCAAGATATGATAAATTGATGAATATTAGTGCATATTTATTAGTTATTATGGGTTTGTAGTAATTGAATTGTTTTGAGTTTGATTTCCTAATCATATTTTACTTTTAGCTTGGTTTAGAAGTTAACCAGTGATTTTTTTTGTAACCTTCCAAATTATAAGGAGAATGAGACAGTTAATGAATTTAGAATAAAAAAATTTTTAAAGAAAACTGGGTTACTTGCTGATAAT